CAGGATTGGCAGTTCCTACTATCTCTAATGAACAGACTTATGTACGAAGACATGCATTGAGAGCAGTTCTGGCGCTCTATGACTATCAAGAGTTCTCAAAGAAGCATTCGATATTCCCTTGGGTTCCAATAATGTTTCTATTACATCAGTAACACGTTGGAAAAACAGACTGCAGAATATCAACTTCGCCAAAATCATATCGTTTGGGTCAGAATTCAAGGCAATTCAACTGCAAAATTAAACACAGGATTTATTTCTCAAGAAACTTAAATTCCAGAAAGGTTTTTGTTCAGCATGTCACAACATCACTGGATGTGACCGATGAACCAAATGATTAAGTTGTCAGGGGCTGGGCCATGTTGCTGTTGGGGATGAGTAGATTCAAGTCACAATCAGATGAATCAAAAGTCGTAAAAATTTATTTCTTTTCCCCTCTAGTTCCAGCAAACAACAATTGCTTAGAGAGGGACTAACGTCATTGCCAAACAGTTTTTCATCCATACTATGGAGCACACAGGATAATATGTCACTTCATCGAAAAGTAACATCTCCAACACTGACTCTACTAAGGTAGCAAATAACTGCAACTTGAAGATTACTTTTTGCCTCCATTTTCTGTCTACGTACAGTCTTCCTAGCAATTTTTAAGATGATCAAGCACACGTCTTAAGGCTTCATTTAATCCATCTGGTATCACTTCAGTCAGACAGGGAAAGAAATCTGAAGGAGATCACAACCAATTAGACAGACTTGGCCATATTCAGCGCATATGTAGAGCCATTTATTAAGCCACCAATATCAAGCTCAATTTCAAAAAATTTTAAGCTTTGTAATGTTCGTGATCTATCACGCATTGTGTGGAAACAGGCAACACTGCTTGAAAAACAAGTCACTTGTATCCACTCGACACTCAACCTATTTAAATGAAGTTGCAACACAAGCAGCTCTTAGAAATCCTTGCAACTTGATTGATAGTTCTGTTTGCTTTGTTTGGGTGGGAAAGCATTACGACAATGGGTGCACTCACCGCTGACAGCTTTTTCAATCAGTCCTTCACAAGTGTCAAAGTCACCTTTAAGTACCAGCTTCTCATGCAGTTCGGTCAACATTGGATGTTCCAATGCAATCTTAGTTTTCTTCTGCAATGACTCAAAGGCCTCCGTGTAGTTGTGCTGGCGAAAGTGTTTCAGGCATAGCCGAATGGCTTCTTGTTCACGGTACTACTGGAACATAAGGAAACATTGGAAAAAAAAATTACACTATGAAGTCTCCATATTACTTCACAATCTGCCATGTTCAACAACTACTCACAACAATTTGTCTCACCAAATAAGACTAAATCTGCCTTTTAAAACTTTGGGAAGGCGTGTGCAAATCAGGTGCTAACCAGTTGATTGAGCATAGCACTTCATTATCACAACCACACTATCATGTGACCAGGCACTGGAGAAAGGTAGATTCCTATTAACAGGGGCTCCAGTTCTGCTTGCAGAATGAACCAAAAACACAAAATTAAAAAGAATACTAAAAGGAATTTTAAAGCCTTACGAGGCAAATCAAAACTTGTTAAAAAGAAAGCTTCATGTTGACAAAAGTCAAACACATTCTCAAATGGTAATCTACAGATGCCCGATACCTTGTTTCTCCTGCCAACTGAATGCAAAGGGAAGCACTTGCCCAAAATTACAGGCAACAACGTGAAAGTTAATTTATCCAAATGTCTGCTTTTGCTTGACAGTTTTCACCTACGCGTTTTCAGTTTTTGTATACTCGTTATTAATTTAACTCATGGTTTCAGAAATTTGGCCATGCCTGCACATGCTCCAGCAAACGCAGCCAAACGTAAACCATAGCAACAGCCAGTGAACAAGTCATGGTGGTGGAGAGGACACCTGCACAGCCAGTGGCTGACAAATGGACAGTGCCAAATTGGCAAAGCACAGAAGGCAGAAAGGTATTCAGAGCTGGTTACAGATCCGCACAGACGATAGTTACCCGCACCTCCTCCATAATAATACTCAACACGGGAGCCCCCAAGGATGCGTCCCCTGCCATCCACTGTACTTACTGTAAACCTACGACTGTGTTGCTAAATTCCAAAGGAACGCCATCTGCAAGTTTGCTGATGACACCGCCGTAGTGGGATGGATATCTAACAATGACGAGTCAAAATATAGAAGGGAGACAGAGGACTTGGGACGTGGTGCAACCAAAACAATCTGTCTCTCAAAGTCAATAAAACTAAACCGATCATCGACTTCAGAAAGAAAGGAGAAGAACACGCCCCCATCTACAGCAACAGAGCTGAGGTTGAGTGGGTGGACAGCATCAAGTTCCTCGGAGTGACGATAACAGACGACCTGTCCTGGACCTCCCACATAAACGCAACAGTCATGAAGACATAAAAGCCCTTCTTCTTCAGGCAGCTCAGGAAATTTGGCATGTCCGTAAGGTCCCTTACCAACTTCTACAGATGCACCAGTGAAAGCATGCTGTCCGGGTGCATAACGGCGTGGAATGGCAACTGCTCTGCTCAGGACCGTAAGAAACTACAGCAGGTAGCGTGCACAGCCCAGACCATCTCGGAAGCCAACTTTCCATCCATGGTCTCCATTTCCATGGCTCACTGCCACAGAAAGGCATCCAACGTCATCAAAGACTCATCGCACCCTGGCAATGACCTCCTACAACCTCTTCTGTCAGGCTGTAGATACAGAAGCCTGAACATGCACAAGCAGGTTCAGGAGCAGCTCCTTTCTGACCGTTATCACACTGTTGAATGGGCTCTAAACTCAAATAATGTAACCTGCAATGTATGTCTCGAAGGCTTTTTGATCTGTACATCCTCTGCTTGCTGTGATCTGCCTGTACCACTCGTAAACAAAGTTTTTCACTGTATTTCAGTACATGTGACAAAAAAAAAATCAATTAACCCACCCTACTTCCCTAACAGGCAGAATCCTGACATTATGAAAGGCTGAACAACAAATCCATGTGATTAAAGTTTACAATATTACTAACATTACATAACATTATAGCCTATTCAAGGTTGGATGATATAACATCTAGACTCATGACCCAAGGGTTTGTACAAATTAATTGTCTTTTAAACTTCTAACACAGTAGCGTCCTAATGAAAAATAAAGCCATTGATAGAAGGTGTGCGTGATGGAGCCCACTGCTCATGTTAAATGTTAAATCATCAGTAAGTGTTCATTAGTGATTCGTCTTTTTATCCAGGTATGTTACGTTTTATTTGTTCCTGGTTGGAGAAATATGGATCTTAAAATTATGTTTACGATATTATAAATTATGTGTATAGCAATTATCGAAGGTTGACTATTGGGTATTTGATCTGCAAATGATTCGCAGCACTACAGTTAACAGGAAGAATCCACTAACTAAACTGAAGAGATGCCATTGTATACTGGATCACATGTTTCCATGTCAGCAATTAATGACTGCTGTGCATGGACACATTTAATGAACAAATGTTGAGTTCTGAATCGATTGAATATTAAAAAATAAAAGCTGAACCAAAAGTCTACAATGAAAAAGTTTAATTTGGGTCGAACAGCCTTAACTTCAGAAGAAATATTTTGATCTGATATCTCAATGTGGACATGCACTGATGTTTAGTGCAACAGAAGAAGTTCGTCAGGAAGGGAACCATCTTGTAAACTGAAGTTCCAGATAAGGTTTGGGTTCCAATACAGTATAGCACAAAATTCCCCAAAGACCCTGATTTACAACAGTGATCCCCTCTGCTCCTTTTGATATATATCAAGGGTTCGGACTAGGATAAACAGGGTATTATTACAAAGTTTGCAGATGACAAACTTGGAAATGTAATAAAGCATAAGGAAAACAGTAATAGACTTCAGTAAACAGAGGCTGGACAAAAGCTCAGACCCATGGCAGATTTAATTTAACACAAGTGTGAAATAATATATTTTTGCAGAAAAATAAGGAGTCAGTCAATGTAAATTAAATGATACAATATTAAAAAAATGCAAGAACAAACATTGGGGTGTGTGTATGTGGACACAAACCTTTGAGAAGGTGGCACATAAAAGAGTTCATTGGTTACAGTTTCTTTTTAATTCGTTGATGGCACATGAGGATCACTGCCTAAAGCCAGCATTTATTGCCCATCCCTAATCACCCTTCAGATGGTGATGGTGACGGTGATGGTGATGGCGAGCTGCCACCTTTAACTGCAACAGGCAATCTAGTATGCACACACCCACAGTACTGTTTGGAGGCAAGCTCCAGGAACAGCAACATCATCTCTAGTCAGGAACTAAAAAAAAGTATGAAAATTAATTAACATTAAAATCTTTTTGAAAACACTAGCTAGGCCTCAGGTGGAGTGTTACGTTCAGTTTTGGGTGCCTCACTTCACAACAAATACTATGACGTTTGAGAAGGTAACATTTCCAGAAATGAAATGAAGAGGAACGCCAGTGTGTGGAGTGACTGGAGAAGCTGGGGAGATTCTCCTCAGAGTAGAGCAGGTATTCAAACTCGAAGATTCAAATACTCAAATACAGACTTACAAAAGGTCTGACTTAACGAACACTTGTACCTATGAACACAGGCTCATACAGACATATAATTTCAAAGACCCAATATACAAAAATTTTCTGTATTTCCGAACGGCACCGTTATGTTGTCCTGCATCGAGCTCCAACTTGCATTCAAGTCAACTTGCAAACAGACTCCAGACCATTCACAACCCGGGGACTGCCTCTACAATAAATTTTAAAAAGTTTCTTTCCAGTCACAAACAGGTTCCAGAGGACACGACTTTACTTAAAATGTCAACTGCTGCAATCGTGAATGCATTGCTTAAAACAATGACTCAAACAGATCCAATCGTAATATTCGCAAGCGAAGTGAATACTTGAAGTAAAAATTATTCTACAAGGCTATGGGGAAAGAGTACGCAAGAAGACCGATTGAATAGCTGTACCAAAAGATCAACGCAGGACATCTGGTTCGAATGGCTTCCCTCTGTGCTCATAATTCTGTAGTTGCAAGTATACAACCATTCAAACCAAGATTCAAAATTTATTGGATGCTTTAAACATTAATGATTGGCTAAATATTAAAAATGCAAAAATAAGGGGAGATATCACAACTATAATTAAGCATGTTTTGTAATCATCAGGAGGTGGACAATTAAGTGCACTTAGCTGTTGCAAATGCTCTTTTGGAGTAAAATTCAACAGCCACTAAAACTTAGCTTTAAATTACTCAAAGAAAAACCCATCAGGCTTTCACAAACATGTAGAACGTTTTTCCTTTCCCCAGATTGTATTAAATACTCTCAGCTGAAAAGCAGGAATTAGCCTCAGCCCATGTGAATATTTGGTTTTCAGTACTTATATTGAGATTCTAAAATCATGTGAACTGATTGCATATTAATGAGTTAGTGCAAAGGTCATGCTTGGAAAATGGATTTTTTTTTTTTTAAAATGCTGCTCGCCAAATAGTTAACAATAACAGAGCAGGTATTAAAAAAAGCAAGGAAGCGAAATATACAGCACAAAGGCAGTGCATTTCTGAGGTTCATATACTGACAAGTCCCTGTGAAATATGAAGGGAAATCCTCTATTAGGGAGGGGCAAAGATTGGCGCCTTGCCCCATTCAATTGCCTGAATATTTCTTCAAAGTAACAGACAGCATCACTTGCCATCAAAGCATTCTTTGGCCACCTGAAGAAGAAATTTACAGCATCACAGCTTGGGGACAGCTGATAAATTTGCCAAGAGAAATTGACAGATTTTGAAGCACCTTTTCAGGTTTTTAGTCGATTCAATAAAGTTAGTGAAAGTAGATTATGAAACTATTTGCAGAGAGTTATTACTTCACGTAAACTGACAATCAAAAAAATGTGAAGGATTACATGTTTAAGCTTCTCACATGCTCCTACATAATACAACTAAGGACTGAAAACTAAGTATTTAGGAACCACATTTGATTGCTTTTTTTTTAAAATTGTCACGTGTACTGAAAATAGTGCAAAGCTTCGTTTACGAGCAGTGCAGGCAGATCACAGCAAGCAAAGGATATACAGATCATAAAGAGTCAGACATACATTGCAGGTTACATTGTTGAATGGGCTCTAGCCTCAAATAGTCCAATAACGGCCAGAAAGAAGCTGTTCCTGAACCTGCTTGTGCACGCGTTCAGGCTTCTGTATCTTCTCCCCGACGGAAGAGGTTGTAGGAGATCATTACCAGGGTGCGATGGGTCTTTGATGATGTTGGTTGCCTTTCCACGTCAGTGAGCCGTGGAAATGGAGTCCATGGATGGAAAGTTGGCTTCCGTGATGGTCTGGGCTGTGCATGCCACCTTCTGTAGTTTCTTACGGTCCTGGGCAGAGCAGTTGCCATACCAGGCCGTTATGCACCCGGACAGTATGCTTTCAATGGTGCATCTGACAAAGCTGGTGAGGGACATGCCAAATTTCCTGAGCTGCCCGAGGAAGAAAAAGCATTGTTGTGCTTTCCTGACTGCCGCATTTACATGTGAGGACCAGGACAGGTCATCAGATATCGTCACTCCGAGGAACTTGATCCTCTTCCCTCTCTCAACCTCAGTTCCGTTGATGTAGATGGGAGGGGGGGGGGGGCACGTTCTCCTCCTTTCTTTCTGAAGTCAATGATCAGTTCTTGAGTTTTGCCAACACCGAGAGACAGACGGTTTTCATTGCACCACATCACGAAGCCCTCTATCTCCCTTGGGCATTTTGACTCCATGTTCTTAGATATCCGTCCCACCACGGTGGTGTCATTCGTGAACTTACAGATGGCGTTGGTTCGGAATTTATTAACACAGTCGTAGGTGTACAGGGAGTACAGGAGAGGGCTGGCACGCATTCTCGGGGGCTCCGGTGTTGAGTATTATTCTGCAGAAGGTGCAGTTACCTCTCCTCACTAATCGCAGCCGATGGGTAGAAAGCTGAGGATCCAGGTGCAGGCGGCAGAACCGAGACTAATGTCTCACAGTTTTGAGATCAGTCTGGAGGGGATAATGGTGCCAAAGGTAGAGCTGTAGTCAACGAGCAGGAGTCTGACGTAGGTGTCTTAGTTGTGGCATTTCACATGGTGACATTTCAAGTACAACTTCCGAGACTATAATACTTTGACCTTGAAAGCATGCTGACGATCATGATTTCAGTTATATTTGATTTTAATCTTAATTTATTCAGAGGAAATATTCATTACATATTTTCAACAGTCTATATTGCTAAGTAATGTAATTGGTATGGAATTCGGCAGCGCAAATCAAAGCCTGACAAATGAACACGGCACCTTTCCAAACAGCAGGCAGCAATCAGCCAAGATGAGCATTAACTAACTACACTCACAAAATGGTCAAATACTTCCAACAGAAGAGGTGACACTCAGTCTTTCAGGTCCTTGCTGGCCGTCGGCAGGAGTAATTCATCTGGGTCTATGCCCCCACCTTTTCCCCACATCTCTGTCCATTTTCCTTTTCAGATAATGATCTAATACCCCTTTCAATGTCTTCAGTGAAACTGCCCGCACCAGACAGCCATTCAGTGCACTGCATTTTAGACAAACAAGAAGCTGGAAGAACACAGCAAGCCAGGCAGCATCTGGAAGAAATGAGTCAACATTTCAGCTATTACCTTTCTTCAGAACTGGATGTGGGGATAGGGGGAGTTGTGGATGAAGAGAAGGGGCAGGGGTGGAAGCGAAATGGTGGTGGTAGGGTGCTGAATTGCATTTGTTGATCACTTGCTGCATAAAAGTTAAGTCCTCCTGTTGCCATCACTTTACTCTCATCGAGGAAGGGCTAAGAATTAGTGGCACGGATTTAAGATGACTGGCAATGTTTTTTCCATCTGCACTGTTCAGACGACGCTCATGATATGGAATATCTCAATCAAACATCTTCCCTACGTCTTCTCCAAGGAAACAGCCTCAACATCTCAAATCTACATGACTGAAGCTCCTCACCCCTGGAGCCATTCTCATGATTTTTTGTGCACTTCCTCTGATCCCTTCACATCTTCCCATAAATCAGAACCCAAAGCTGGACACAATGCTCCACTTGACAGAAAAAAGAAAACAGCATTTTATCCAGGTTGAGAACACTGTCTTACTTTTGTGCTCTCTGCTAGTACTTAGAAAGCTCAGGATACTACGCAGCTTAGGGCTGTGAAGAGGATTCATACCAGACTTGAAATATTAACTGTTTCTCCCCAGATTCTGCCAGACCTTCTTGAGCTTCTCCATCTTTCAATGGTTGCCTCAGATTTCAAGCATCCATAGTATATTGCTTTCATCAGGAAACGGTGTGCTTTGTTTAATGCTCTCTCAACACATCCTACAACTTCCAATGATATGTGCACAAACTCCCAGGTCTCTCTCCTCCTACAACCACTAAAAATTGATCCTTTATTTTATAACCTCTCTACATCCTTCCGACCAAAATGATGCCCTTCATAATTCTCAGCATTAGATTTCATCTGCCCATTCCAATGTCTATGTCATTCCATTATCCTCCTCATGGCTCAAAATACATCCAAGTTACCTGCAGTCTGCAAATTCTAAAATTGTGCCTGTACAGCATTGCCATGGTGATTCATCCATAACAGTAAGAGAAGCCAGGTCATGATTCTGTTCTAAATATTCCCTAGTCCAAAGCATAACTGCATGTCAGCATTTCATTTTGTCACTGAACCAATTCCGCAATCATGTGACTGACAAGTCCATGGCACTGCACTTTATCAAATGCCTTTTGGAAGTTCATGCACACCACATCAATGGCATTATTCTCCATTACCACATCCAAGACCTCTTAATTAGTTAGTTAAATATGATGCACCCTCAACCAATCCAAGCCAGCTCTCCTGAATGAAGCAGCATTTGTCCAAGTGAAGACTAATGTCTTCCCGAGGTACCATTCCTAAAAGTTTCCTTGAAGGTTAAAGTGACTGACCTGTAGCTTTTCAGCTTAAAAAATCAACTACTTCAAAGCTGCTTCCACAATCAAATAGTGTGTAGCTCTACTAATACTGAAATTATATTTGATGGTCTTTCATCAACTTGTTAGTCAATCATAGGCCTAAAATCTACACCTTCATATTAAGAAAAATGCTGGAGCCAGAGTTGTTCCTCTCATTCAGCATTGCCACCTATCTCGAGGGGCAAGGATTTCAGTCCGACCGACGATCACCGAAGCACCAAACTTCCCTATTTGCGCGCTCTCGGTTAAGGTGACCTTGAATACTAAGCTTAAATCCTGCACCTTCCATGCAACGTACTTGTAGCATAACTAAGTGTTTTTCAAGTTAAAAACATACAGAAATTGCTGGTGAAACTCACCAAGTCTGGCAGCATCTGTTGAGAGAAAGTAGAGTTAACATTTCGAGTCCATGACTCTTCTTTAAATTAAATATCAGCGTAAGAGAAACAAGCTTAAATAAAATATAATATTCCTACCTTGCTATACCAGTTAAGGCACGGTTGTACAATGTCTGGCTCATCTATCCCATGTAGTTCAACGTACCAGATGCTGAAGTTAAAGCTAGGCCCCCATGACATTAATGGAACTATCAAAGGAAACAGAAAAAAAAATTCATGACTTTTAGATCTGCTAACGTAGTTCCATAAAATTTAGAAACAGCAAAATTCATTTTTTCACGTCACTGATCATTTCATTAACCATAGGTATTATTTTGGCATCAATTCCGACTATCAAGATGTGTTTGGCTGTTGTGTTGAAATGGCAGACAACAAAAGTATACTGAGGGAAAATGAACAATATGCTCATTACTATAGAGTTTCCTTATGAACAAAGAGGAACAATGCAACACGTTATCAATGCAAAAAGAAACGGCAGCACAACCTTCCTTTCCAGACTTCAAATGGTCCGACAGAAGGTTTCCCACTATCATCAGATGGCCACTGCACAAGCTCGCATTAATGTACAGTTTATCATAAAGCAGTATTTTGCTTCCAGTGAATGTAGATGGCATTGAAGTAGTTTTGATTTTATGTTCTGAGATTTGTCAATCAAATACCACACATCTTAACACTTCAATCTAACTCTACAATATATTATTTACAATCTCATGTTTAGAAAAATTAATTAATTGAAACTTTGTCAAGCATATGATTTTGCGATCATTAATGACTAAGATAAGACAGTGACAAGCATACAGAACTAGATTATATCATCCAATGAGGGCTATTGAGTCAACAGTTTTTGAGACTACTTTACAAGAAAATTACAGTGAGCAATGGCAATAACACAGTTATAAAATATTGATGCGCGTGCATTTGCAAAATGCATTTTAGGGACCAATTCCAATAACACATTTAAGTCTTCACCAATAGCATAAATAGAAGCTATCTCCCAATAGTACAGATTAAAAGAAAACGTCAGTCATAGGCAGCAGAGATGGAACACTTCACAACAGTGAAAATAGCAATTCATGCTCCAACAGTAGTCAGACAATCAAATCTACCTGTTCCACTGCAAACATAAAAAGATACACTGTGCAGTATTTGAAAATTAACGATAACATCCTGTCCTGAAATTCTATCCTCTGATTTTTGCTTTTTAAAAATGATCCTTAACTCACATTCCTGGACAAAGTGCTACTTGCTAGAAAATGTCAAATCTGCCAACATTTGTTTATCCACTGATCGACTTTCCCGTTTGCAAATGCTGCCAACTGATTCTAACACTTATGACTGCAGACAGCGCAACGGTTCAAAAATGGGAATGACTGCCCACGGCCAAAATGAGAATTGGTTCTCACCAATTCTCAGTGAGGTGGTCAGCATAGAATCCTAGATTAAGCAACCTCAATTTTCACTTCGGGTGGCTGAGAGAAGAGAAATTAAACAAATAATGACATAGAAAGCCATTCTAAAACAGTGTAGATAACAGCAATCCATTTTAATGTAATTAGCTGCAACTCTTCACAGAACGTGAACTGAAAATTGTTCAGAAGTTGCAAGAAAAGGGTGACATTGTTTAATCATCACGGCAGCAATGTAGCTAAATGTACTATTTCATATTATGGTATACAAAGTAGGATAACCCAGGTACTTAAAACATAGGAAACGGTTCACTGAACGTTCTCAAAAACTGTTACATAATGTGGTGCAGCCATACTTTTAAAAATTGCAAAAAATATATGCAGACATGTACAAAACGCTGGTGAATAGAGTAAGAAACTCCATTTGAGTTTGACATCCTCCATTTCTTCAGTGTTACAAGGTTATATTCATAACCAGCCATTTTTGTATCAAATTTTACCCTTGCACGTGTCTGTGTCAGATTCAGTGGCAGACTTGTCTCTCCTGCCAATTGTCAATTAAAATTATGCCTATTTATTTCAGCTCATTGCTGGAAGAATTTACTGCAAATATTTAAAAAAAAGGTCTTCATTTTGTGACCATTGTATTGATGTGATCCTTCAAATGTACTATTGAGTTAAAAAGATAACAGGTGCAGTAAAACTACATTACTTTTGTGTCATGTTTTAATATCACACTAGGCCAAGGTCAATTTCAAGTAAAATAGTAAATGCATAATTGAGTTGTGAACTTTGAAGGACAACTAGAAATCAAATAACCATCCTTCACAAAATACATCAATTTAATTGATAATTACATGATAAAAATTGAGGTTACTTGAAAACACACAAAATAATGCAACTACAGGAAGTCTATCAATTCTACAAAGTAAATGGGGACTTGTACTGTTGAAATATTCGCCAAATTATCACAAATTGAATCCAAACTGTTACAAAGAAAATAACAGCAACCAATTTCAACTTTTAAAGTTCGGCTTTCTCCGAAATTCAGACTCAAAGTTCTGGCTATAAACGAACAGTCAGAAAAAATTGGTTCAATTGATCCATTATACTGAACCCTCAACGTTCTCAAAGATGCAAGCCTGTAGTGTACTCTGTAATATACATATACACATCTAAATTCCAGAATTTAACTAATCTGGATCTTGATGAACAAGAAATGGCTCTTTTCTCCAAAAAAGAAAATGGTGATAGATAATTTGATTTTAAAAAAAGCTTAAAACACTGCGGGATTCTAGAGAACCACTGTACTAAGTGGGGTAAAACTGATCCACGTGTGAACAGCAATGAGAAACGGAATTGAGAGCATACTTCATATGCATTTGGATATTTATTCTCACTGTTACTTTCACTTGCTTTGAAATTGAAAGTACTTTCCAAGTCAGTGGAAAATTAAACCTGGCATGGCGAAAAATCAGCCAAATTGTCAGAAGCTTGTTTTAATCTCCTTACATAGATCAATTTGACTCCCAACATATTCCCATTCGTGAAGACCAGAAGCCCGAAACCGAAGTTGGTCACTAATAAACCCCAACAGGAATTTAGAACCAACTTTTCCATTCACATTGAGTAGAACATTTCATGGAATCATAGAATATAGAAACATAAAATTCTTAGTGTGCAAGCAGGCCATTTAGCCCATCATTCCACACCACCCCTCCCAAGAACATCCCACCCAGACCCACCCCCTACCCCATTCCTGTAACCCTGCACTACCAACGGTCAACCCGCACATTTTTGGACCGAGAGAAGAAACCGGAACACCTGGAGGAAATCAACACAGAAACGGAGAGAATGTGCAAACTCCACACAGGCAGTCAACCAAGGCTAGAATTGAGACAACAAGGTGCAAGGCTGGAATTGAACCTGGATTCGTGGTGCTGTCAGCAGAATTGACACCCGCTGAGCCACTATGCCACATTTAACAGGAAGCTAGATAAATATGCAAGGACCAAAAAGATTGAAGTATGCATTTTTAATGTGAAATAACTAAGAGGTAACTTATGTAGCACCTAACACTGGCGCAGAACTGTTGGGGCGAATGGCCTGTTTCTGTACTATTTACATTATGCCTGCATGAATGTAACTGAATAAAGGTCTGCAATCCATGCTGCATATTGGAGGATTTCAAGTTAATTCCAAACCTCAAAACAAAACTGCTGCAACTGACAAGAGCGATCAAACTTTCCTGGTAAGGTTATCTATGACCAGTTCACTTGTATCTGAGGACTACATCTGCATAATGTAATTTCCACATAATGTAATTTCTATATTCCTACACCGGCCCTAAACCCCACCTCTTCCTCCGTTACATTGATGACTGTATCGACGCCGCCTCGTGCTCCCACGAGGAGCTCGAACAGTTCATACACTTCACTAACACCTTCCACCCCAACCTTAAATTTACCTGGACCATCTCTAACACCTCTCTCCCCTTCCTGGACCTCTCTGTCTCCATATCGGGCAACCACCTCGAAACCGATATTCATTTCAAGCCCACCGACTCCCACAGCTACCTAGAATACTCCTCCTCCCACCCACCTTCCTGCAAAAATGCTATCCCCTATTCCCAATTCCTTCGCCTCCGCCGCATCTGCTCCCAGGATGAGGCATTCCACTCCCGTACATCTCAGTTGTCCTCGTTTTTC